AAAGAGGTTTAATCTCCAAATACGGAAAGGTTTCTTCACAGTAAGACCACCTGAGAAAATGTGGAATAGACTCCCTCAAGAGTTGATTCTGGTATGCTCAGAGAATTACTTTAAAAATGCCTGGATTTTTTCTTGGATACACAGAATATAACTGGTTACTAACATTTATAGGTAAAGTTGATCCAGGGAATATTCGATTGCCTCTCGGGGGATCAGGAAAGAATGTTTTCCCCTGCAGGAGCAAATTGGATCATGCTTTGCTGGGTTTTTTGCCTTCCTCTGGATCAACTGTGGGTGTAGGATTATAACTTTTTACTTTTTATTAAGGTTGAACTGGATGGACTTTTGTCTTTTTTCAGCCAGACTAACTACAGTATGTGTAACTATGTAACTATTTGACAAGTCATCATCAGGTCCATTGGTGGGACTATTAAATATTTTGAGGACATTCAAAATATTTAAATGCAAATGCAAACATTGTTTCCTAAACAGTTTCATTTTCTTTTCTAAGTTCATGTATAACCATATCCTTTTTTTTAGTTTTAAATAGAGAAAAGGGGAAATGCTCAAATCTGTCAATTATTAACAGTTATTTTTTTGCTGTCTGTGTCTCCATTGGAGATATTTCCCTTCACTTCCTGTCCCAAAAACACAACAAGAAGCACTACACCGTGGGAGAAACTCCTGTCTAAGACCATTGTCACCTCCTGTTTTGGATTTCCTATTGCTTAGTTACTTAAGCATACTAGTTAAACCAGTGACATATATATTAACTTAATGCTGGTGAAAGGGAAAAACCAATAGGTCAGTCTTCAGTCATTCAGGTCCAGAGTGAGTCTAAACTGCTCAATGAGACTGATAGTCATTTATATGACACCTTGAGTTTCAGTGGTGTTTTTAGTGCAGGGCTCTGGGCACTGAAAGTAAGTCTAAACAGCAAAGTTTTCAAATGTTTTCCTAACATTTAGGGCTGGTTCACACCAGAGCTATTGGACCCTTAATTGTCCTTCTTAACAATTAAAGCCTTACTGCAGCCACAATGTTTTTTTTTCATTTTGGAACCCAATGGGGACCCATGCAGATTGTCTCTTGTTCTGGTGTTCCAAAATGACCTTCATATTTAATTAACTGGGAACCCCCCAAAAATTGATTGTGGACCCTCATTTGAAGAGTTCTGCTCAGAAGAACCACTGTTCTTAAGAACATATAATTCTAGACATGAAGCAATTATGCAATGCAATGCAAAAAAAAAAAAAGCAGAACAAAGGCCACTACAAAGGCCAATGCAGGGCCGAGATCAATAAATGAAAGTACTACACACTACGAACCCTTGCAGAGGAACACACAAAATAAATACCTTTAAGAATCTCTTCCTTACTCCAGTCGCTCCAGATAAAGCTGTTTTCATCAGTTAACAAAATACTTGAAAGCTTTACCCGTACTTTAATTGTGTATGTAACATCAGGCTGAACAGTAAGAGTCATGCTGCTAAGAACCATCTGGAAAATCAAATAATCAAGTCTTTGGTCATTTAGAATATATACTGTATCAATACTGAATTACTACTGTATGTAGTCCCAATTTTTCTCCCAACTACCCTTTCTTATCCATATCACATTGACTATTAACACTACGTACAGTAGCTTGAGGAACAAAGGCACAGTGGCTAAGTGGTTAGCACTTCTTCCTGGCAGCACTAGGGTAGTTGGCAGGGCTGTCTTTAATATTGATTGGACCCTAGGCACTTTTTCATCCCCATCATTAAACAGGACCCCCTCCCTCACACTACGCCCATCATTACACAGAATCCCCCTCCCTCATACTGCTCCCATTATTACAAAGTTCCCCCCCTCCCCCACCATTATGCAGGATCCCTCCCCCATACTTCCCCATCATTACACAAGCCCCCCTCCCCCAGACTATCTCCATCATTACACAGGAGTCCTCACCCCATACTACCACTAATTATTACACAAGACCTTTATCCCACATCAGTACATAGGACCACCTTCCCTATATTACCCCCATAATTACACAGGACCCTCTCCCCTATACTACCCCCATCATTACACAGGACCCCCTCCCCCATACTACCCCCATAATTACACAGGAACCCTCCCTTATACTACCCCCCATCATAACACAGGCCCACAGGGGGTGGGGAGGGGGGTTATTGTTGAGAGTGGAGAAGTGAGGAGGGGATTATTTGTTGAGGGTGGAGAGACAGGGAGGGGGTTATTGTTGAGGGTGGAGAGGTGGGTTATTTGTTGAGGGTGGAGAGGCGGTTAACGGGTTTATTGTTAAGGGTGGAGAAGTGAGGAGTTGGTTATTTGTTGAGGGTGGAGAGATGGGGAGGGGGTTATTGTTGAGGGTGGAGAGGTGGGGAGGGGGTTGTTATTTAGGGGGGAGAGGTGGGGAGGGGGTTATTGTTTAGGGTAGAGAGGTGGAGAGAGTTTGACAGATACAGTCCAAAGAATAGTAGAGCTGCATGGTCTGAACTCTCTGCCCATCCCCCCACCCACTCAGCTCAGAAGGGGGAGAAGGAGAGTTGTTAACTGCAGGCTCTGCTCACCCTGAAATAGAAACTGGCACGGGTGGTGCAGACAGACCTGAACAGGTCTATCGGCTTGGTTAATGTGGCACACACTACAGCCTGAGCAATAGGTTTATTTTCTCGACTGAGGCTCCAGTCTGTGTTAGCTCCTGAACTCCAGCATTCCTACTTCTTTGATTACGGAGTTCAGTCAGTATTGAGTATTCTTGTTTGCCGCCTGCCCTGACCTTTGACATGAACCTGTTTTTAAATGTGCTAGTTGACTTTGTACTATGCTCTGGTTCTAACCCCTGGTGCAGATCTGGTGGCATGTAATTATTAATACTGTGCACTTTGTGCCTTTTTAAGGGCTCACACCCTATACAACATGCAAATAGAACAGAGGGAAACTTCCAATTATTATCCTTGACGATAACATTCTTCTGAACATTGACATTCTGGAAAAAACTTTTACTGTGATTGACAAAATATTAAAGGATAAGTTCACCTTTTGGGAAAAATAATAAATGCACATATTTCTGCAGAAACAAAAATGCGGATTTATTTTTTCCCACAGGAGCCTACAGAGCATTGCACCCATGATCAGTGGATTGTAGGTGTAAAGTCAGGCTCCTGCAGACTCTCAGTACAGCTGTCTGCCCGTACCTTCTGTACGGACAATGTCAGGAATGGACTGGCCAGCAATGGTGGGACTCACCTGCCTTATGGGCTGCAGTACCAGGGCTGGCCAGCGGGTGCTCCCAGCAATCAGAGACTCAACCTTGCAGCCAGCCAAACACCTAAAACTGCTTATACTGATGTATTTAAGGGATGGCCAGACCTGCAGACTCTGCCTTGGTGTTTGTTTCTCCTGGGCCCTGTATCCTGTTCCTGCTCCCTGTTCCTGTCTGATTCGTTGCTGACCCTGCTCTGATCCCTGGCTTTGTCTGACCATTCTCCTGCTCCTGATCCCTGGCTTTGTCTGACCATTCTCCTGCTCCTGATCCCTGGCTTTGTCTGACCATTCTCCTGCTCCTGATCCCTGGCTTTGTCTGACCATTCTCCTGCTCCTGATCCCTGGCTTTGTCTGACCATTCTCCTGCTCCTGATCCCTGGCTTTGTCTGACCATTCTCCTGATCCCTGGCTATGTCTGACCATTCTCCTGCTCCTGATCCCTGGCTTTGTCTGACCATTCTCCTGCTTAACCCCATACGTTCTGACCTCCTGTTGATAATCCCGGCCTGCCTGATGACGCTTGCATTGTATGTACTGTTATCTGTGGGTGGTTTGGTTTGGTTCGTTTGCACTGTTATGTTTTAGTATTGCACTGCGTTTATGTATTGTTAGTGTTAATAAATTATATTTATAACATATCTGAAGCCTGCGTTTCCCTGCGTCAGTCACATACCTCTGGTCACACCCTGGAGCCCTGACATTACACCAAGGCCAATCCTGACCAGAAGTGGCTGCACAGGGAAGCCATCTTGGTTTGTTGATGGGAAGGATGGATCTTGATGAGGTTGTGTATTTATATCTGCTAGTGTTTGATGACAGAGAGTATGCTTATCAAACTCTGAAGGAGTATCCCAGGGATGAACTGCTAGAATGTATACGGCTCGCTCATGTTCTAGTAGATCAGGGCACAGAATTCTCTGAGGTGCAGCCATTGATTCAGATTTGTGCAGAGTTGGTTTCATCTGGTACCCCCCCGAATGCAGGGATGAATTTTTGCCGCCATTTAGTGCCGACCAGGTAGAGTCCCTGGTATGGTTATTAGAGGATGATGTGGATTGCTTCTTGGAGCATTATGCTGCATGTTCACCACAGATACTAAGAGATTGTATAAATGCAGTGCAGTCTTTGGTCAGACAGGCTTTGTGTAAGCTGAGCTTTGTTCAACCCATACTGCAGACATGGACAGATTTGTTGCACCCAGCCTCAGTCAGCTTGCAAAAACCCAGTCCTGCTTCTAATCTATTTCCTCAAAGCTCTATTCCTGCATTCCCAACAGCTCCTCCTGCCCTGCTATCTACCGCATGTCAGTACCCTGTTCCCACTCGCTGCACCTATCCTGCCTTTAACCCTGTAAAGAAGCCCTCTGTAGCAACTGTTCCCTCCCCTGTTCCATCCTCCAGCTCTTCTCTGTCTCCAGCTGCTCCATTCGTTTGCAGACCTGCGTTTACTTGCAGTGCTCCAGTCCAACCAATACCATCCTGCCAGTATCCAAACCGGTGAGCCTGCCGTCTGAGAACCTGCCTTCCGTGGTTCAGCCTGGTGCCTCGGCACCCGCACTTCAGCCTGATGCCTGTACCCAGCCTGATGCCTGTACCCAGCCTGATGCCTGTACCCAGCCTGATGCCTGATGCCTCTTCAGCCTGATGCCTCTATTCAGCCTGATGCCTCTCTGCCTCAGCCTGATGCCTCTACCCAGCATGATGAACTGATCCAGCCTGATGATCCTATTAGGCCAGTTGACTCGATGCCCGCTGTTGATCCAGATGATCCAGTACCTGATCCGGTGCCCGCTGTCATGCCAATTGACTCAGAGCCCGCTGTCGTACCTGGTGACTCGGTGCCCACTGCCTTGCCAGATGACGCGGTGCCCGCTGGCGATCCAAATGACCTGATGCCTGGTGACCCAGTGCCCGCTGTCATACCTGGTGACCCGATGCCCGCTGTCGAGCCAAACGATCCAATGCCTGGTGACCCGGTGCCCACTGCCTTGCCAGATGACGCGGTGCCCGCTGGCAAGCCAAATGACCTGATGCCTGGTGACCCAGTGCCCGCTTGTCATACCTGGTGACCCGATGCCCGCTGTCGAGCCAGACAATCCGGTACCTGATGACCCGGTGCCCGCTGTCGTGCCAATTGACTCAGAGTCCCACTGTCGTGCCTGGTGACTTGGTGCCCACTGTCTTGCCAGATGACGCGGTGCCCGCTGTTGAGCCAAATGACCTGATGCCTGGTGACCTGATGCCCGCTGTCCAGCCAGACGATCCAATGTCTGACCCAGTGCCCGCGGTCATACCAGTTGACTCGGAGCCCACTGCCTTGCCAGATGACGCGGTGCCCGCTGTCGAGCCAAATGACCTGATGCCTGGTGACCCGATGCCCGCTGTCCAGCCAGACGATCCAATGTCTGACCCAGTGCCCGCGGTCATGCCAGTTGACTCGGAGCCCACTGCCTTGCCAGATGATGCGGTGCCCGCTGTCGAGCCAAATGACCTGATGCCTGGTGACCCGATGCCCGCTGTCCAGCCAGACGATCCATTGTCTGACCCAGTGCCAGCGGTCATGCCAGTTGACTCGGAGCCCACTGTCGTGCCTGGTGACCCGGTGCCTGTCGCTCCGCCTGGGGGTCCGGCGCCCGCCTGGGGGCCCGCTCCGCCTGGGGGGGCCTGAGACCTGTCGCTTCGCCTGGGGGTCCGGCGCCCGCCGCTCCGCCTGGGGGCCCGAGACCTGTCGCTCCGCCTGGGGGCCCGAGACCTGTCGCTCCGCCTGGGGGTTCGGCGCCCGCCGCTCCGCCTGGGGGCCCGAGACCTGTCGCTCCGCCTGGGGGTCCGGCGCCCGCCGCTCCGCCTGGGGGCCCGAGACCTGTCGCTCCGCCTGGGGGTCCGGCGCCGCCCTCCGCCTGCTCCGCCTGCGCCCGCCTGGGGGCCCGATGCCCGTCGCCCCGCCTGGGGGCCCGATGCCCGTCGCCCCGCCTGGGGGCCCGATGCCTGTCGCCCTGGGGGCCCGGGGTCGCCCCTGGGGGCCCACCCTGCTCCGCCTGGGGGCCCGATGCCTGTCGCCCCGTCTGGGGGCCCTATGCCTGTCGCCCCGCCTGGGGGCCCGGTGCCTGTCGCCCCCGCCTGGGGGCCCGGTGCCTGCCACTCCGCCTGGGGGCCCGGTGCCTGCCGCTCCGCCTGGGGGCCCGGTGCCTGCCGCTCCGCCTGGGGGCCCGGTGCCTTCCGCTCCGCCTGGTGATCCGATGTGCCTCTGCCCGGAGTCCAGCCCGATGTGCCTCTGCCCGGAGTCCAGCCCGATGTGCCTCTGCCCGGAGTCCAGCCCGATGTGCCTCTGCCCGGAGTCCAGCCCGATGTGCCTCTGCCCGGAGTCCAGCCCGATGTGCCTCTGCCCGGAGTCCAGCCCGATGTGCCGCTGCCCGGAGTCCAGCCCGATGTGCCGCTGCCCGCCCGGTGTGCCGCTGCCCGTAGTGCCGCTGCCCGTAGTGCCGCTGCCCGTATGTGCCTCTGCCCGGTGTGCCGCTGCCCGGTGTGCCGCTGCCCGGTGTGCCGCTGCCCGGTGTGCCGCTGCCCGATGGGCCGCTGCCCGGAGTCCTGCCCGGTGTGCCGCTGCCCGGAGTCCTGCCCGGTGTGCCAGTCTTTGATATCCTGCCAGTTACCAGACCCGGGCGGTGGAACATTTTGCCCAGCTAGGACTGTTTGGAGCGTCCTGAGGCCGCTCCTTGAGGGGGGGGTACTGTCAGGAATGGACTGGCCAGCAATGGTGGGACTCACCTGCCTTATGGGCTGCAGTACCAGGGCTGGCCAGCGGGTGCTCCCAGCAATCAGGGACTCAACCTTGCAGCCAGCCAAACACCTGAAACTGCTTATACTGATGTATTTAAGGGATGGCCAGACCTGCAGACTCTGCCTTGGTGTGTGTTTCTCTGGGCCCTGTATCCTGTTCCTGCCCCTGTATCCTGTTCCTGACCCTGCTCTGATCCCTGTTGTCTGACCCTGTCTGATTCGTTTGCTGACCCTGCTCTGATCCCTGGCTTTGTCTGACCATTCTCCTGCTCCTGATCCCTGGCTTTGACCATTCCCTGCTTGTCTTTGTCTGACCATTCTCCTGCTCCTGATCCCTGGCTTTGTCTGACCATTCCCTGATCCCTGGCTTTGTCTGACCATTCTCCTGTTCCAGATCCCTGGCTTTGTCTGACCATTCTCCTGCTCCTGATCCCTGGCTTGTCTGACCATTCTCCTGCTCCTGATCCCTGGCTTTGTCTGACCATTCTCCTGCTTAACCCCATACGTTCTGACCTCCTGTTGATAATCCCGGCCTGCCTGACGACGCTTGCATTGTATGTACTGTTATCTGTGGGTGGTTTGGTTTGGTTCGTTTGCACTGTTATGTTTTAGTATTGCACTGCATTTATGTATTGTTAGTGTTAATAATTATATTTATAACATATCTGAAGCCTGCGTTTCCCTGCGTCAGTCACATACCTCTGGTCACACCCTGGAGCCCTGACAGACAGACAGTCCAGGAAGATCAATGAACTATGGCATTGCTCACCAGTGCCCTCATGCCCTCACGGTTCATTGAAAACTACAAGCTTTCTGCCACAGTGGCAGATGGTACATGTAGTTTATTCATTCACAGATCTTTGTGCATGAATGACGTGGCTTGTGTGGGTGGAGCCCCACAAAGCCATGCTCTTTTTAAAATGTGACAGTAGGTATTGGGGGAGGCTCGGGGGGGGAAGGTGGGGGTGTTGGTGTAGGAAAGATTAGAGGAACTGAATTTATTCTCTCTTGAGAAGAGGAGATTAAGGGGGGATATGATGTATAAACACAGTCAGGTCCATAAATATTGGGACATCGACACAATTCTAACATTGGCTCTATACACCACCACAATGGATTTGAAATAAATGAACAAGATGTGCTTTAACATGGAGGCCCGGCGGCCACCTGTTATATCCACAGGGTTAGTTCACACTATACCTGGATGTTATTTTACTACTTATCACAATTTGGATACCTTGAATGTTTACAATAAAGTTCTTTTGATAATCTACTACACTATGGACATCCTTCCCTTAACTCCCTGAGAGGAGTACTTATTTTCAGACCCAGGCACCATACCAAGAGGTGGAAGATTTCCTGTAAACAGGCAGTTCCTTCCAGCCAGTCCCTTTGAGGAAACCTCTGGTTACCTGGATCTTGTTCTTCTTCATTGAAGTCCTGTCATCACACGGAAGGGAGGATTGCCCAAGCTGACCAGACCTTTGACCAGACCTCTGATGAGGGATTTTATACAACACTCATACCTTATTTATTTCTGGTGAGTGCGCATTTCTATCATTTCCCAAGGAGCACCACCAGTACCTCCTAGTTTCTACGATCACAATTCATAGACTTTATGGACGTTGTTTGAATTTATTTTGAATTTATTTTTAGTTTTACATATGATTTTAGCGCTGCACTAATTTTATATCATTTGATTTACTGCATATATTGGTTGCTTTGAGTGCTTAGCTGCTTTTAGGATATAGCGCTCACTACATATCTGTTTGTTTTATAAATTCAGTTGCGGCTGCTAACCAACACACCCCACAATTATTATGTGCTAATCATCCACATGCATAAAATATCTTACCACAAAAATGTTTATACTATGTTCTCCCCCAAGTACTAAATCACAGTGCATAAATTATGGGGTGTGTTAGCAGGTGCAACAAAATTTACGTATTAAAATTTATGACTTGTGTGAACACATTTGTTTGTCTGCAACCGCTAGACACAATATTTGAGTATACACAATACAGGTTTATATATTTATATATATATATATATATATATATATATATATATAAAAATGCCCTTCTAGTTTAGATAGGGGGAGATAGTGTTCAATTGATAGAGAGGAGGGCTGAGTTGCAGCCTGGGTGTAATAGCCAGAAGGTCAAATTGTGGTCAGGAGTTGAGAGCCTCTGCAGACCAGCCCCTCTGGAATTTTCCCCTGCACTAGGGCTTTGGAGGAAGGCTGAGTAGTAGCACTCAAGGGATCCTGACCAATCCCCAACAGGAGGTTGAAAATGGGCCAGGACACCCAATACAAAAGTGTTGGAGCCTGCTCAGTGGCGGGAAAGTTTGGGTGGAAAATAGTGAGGAAAATGTGAAGCTAAAGGAAGGAGGCTGCGAGGAGGCCCAGTGAGATGGGGCCTACCTGCAGGCCTGGAGCTGGAAAGGAGGAAAGCTCAGAGCTTACTGTCCCCCAGATCGAGGACTACCTCAATGGCAAGAAAGGAGCGGCCCAGCTGATAACAGCCATCAGTCCACCAGTGGTACAGGAGAGGATCTGAGTGAGTACACCATCACCCCCTGGACAGATAGGGAAAAGAGCACTCTGGTGAGAAACCAGATTTGCTGCCTATTTGGGACTGTCCACTCTTAAAGTAACAGATGCCAGATTCCCTGTTCAGGCATACCTCCATATTGCTGGGTCAACTGGAGAAGTTCATCCAGGGTCTGGGGTGGTACACTAAAGAGACTCTGGCTATCTCTGCAACAGAGTATGCGCTGAAGTGAAGGATTATAAGTCCCAGGAAGTTGTCCTCAGTTCATCGGTTCCCTTGGGCATCCTGTACACCCCGAACCCTATCCCCTAAACAAAACAAAAACCTCAAGGACTTATTTCTGACACTGCATGCAAGTCTTGGTGAAGATGTGTGATGCCTGGCTGTGCAGGACTATAGGGGGACCCAAATCTTCTAGCAGCTCCTAAGGGGGTAGTGCTACATATTTATGTATATGTGTGTGTATATTTATATATATATATATATATATATATATATACACACAGGTGAAACTAAAAAAATTAGAATATCGTGCAAAAGTTCATTTTATTTCAGTAATGCAAAAGGTGAAACTAATATATGAGATAGACTCATTACATGCAAAGCAAGATAGTTCAAGCCGTGATTTGTGATAATTGTGATGATTATGGCTTACAACTCATGAAAACCCCAAATCCACAATCTCAGAAAATTAGAATATTGTGAAAAGGTGCAATATTCTAGGCTCAAAGTGTCCCACTCTAATCAGCTAATTAAGTCATAACACCTGCAAAGGGTTCCTGAGCCTTTAAATGGTCTCTCAGTCTGGTTCAGTAGGAATCACAATCATGTGAAAGACTGCTGACCTGACAGTTGTGCAGAAAACCATCATTGACACCCTC